GGGGGAGGAGGAGGCGGGCTCCGGGCCGGCCGAGTGGGGGAGGAGGGAGAGCGGCGCGGCCGGAGGGGAACGGCCTGCAGGGGGGCGGGGAAGGGCTGGGCCTGCAGGTATGGTCCGGGCTCCGGAGGAGGTGGGTGGGTCAGGTTACACGCCTGGGGGCGACGGAGGAGAAGCCCAGGAAATAGGGCTTGGTGGGTGTGGGCGGAGTTAGTTCGGGTGGGGGCGGCCGGGAGATCCCGGAGATGTTTGCAGGGGTCGCTTGAGGTCAGGGCGCAGAGAGACGTCGGGGGAGGCCAGGTACGGCGAGGGGCTGCTGGGGGACCCTTGGGAGCGGGGAGAAGCAGGGTCTTGGGGCACGGCCAGAGGGAGATGTTGGGGCGAGTCAGGAGAAACTAGTGCGATCCGAAATCCGAAAATCACCTCTAAGTGTGAGTTCCGAGTTCAACCTGGGGCGGGGGTTTCCTCTTCTCCCATCTTCTCCCTAAAACCTTTGGGTCCCCAACCTATCCCTTGGGCAAGCCTCCGCCAACCCTTCCAAGGCGCCGGCCAGCTGGTGGGTGTTTGTGTGGGCAGCTCGGGACTTAGTCTGGAACACCTAACTCAGGCATCTTGTTTACCGCCCGGGTGGCCCTCGCCCACCCCCACCCTGTAAACCTTCAGGGAGGCAACCCAGCTCACATTCCCCGAGGAGCTTAGGGTCCTGGAATCTTGGTGTTTTTCTGTGACCAGATCCCGGAGGCTCAAATCGAGAGGATGGAGCTTCACAGTCACCCTCATAGACATGCCATAGCTCCCAGGTACCACCAGCTTCCTAAGTCTTGAGTTCGGAGCTTCCGAGTGGGTAAAGGCAGGTCACAGAGGAAAAGATCAAATCAGGCTCCCCTCCCTGGGCACTGGCTTTTGGGGCCACCAGCCTCAGGGCTCTACTTTAGGGCACTCGTCCTGCCCAGGCCGAGCCTCGTGCTAGGCCCCTGGACCAATGAGCTCATCGATTGCTCACCACGGCTGGGTCAGGCCTTCTCTGATCCTAACGAGGAAGCTGAGGCTTACGGGGCAGCAGGGCTGATGCCAGGTCGCTCAGCGGCTGAGCTTGGGTTGAGTGACTTGGCCCCAACCCACAGTTGGCCAAGCCGGCCTTTGCAGGGGGATGATCGGAGGGGCTCCTCGCTGCGGCCCTGGTGGGGATTCTGTGTCTGGGCCTTGCCTGCTGCCCATCTGCAGAGACGGGTCAGTTTCCCCTGTGGATGGGCTGAGTTTCTCTGGTGTCCCAGGAGGCTGGGACAGTGGCAGGCTCCTGCCTTCTTCCCCATTCTCCCCAGGGAGTCGGGCGGGGTGAGGCGCACAGAGCTGTGGGCCCTGGTGGAAAGCGGTCAGGAGGAGGGGGCCTGACCCCAGTGTCGGACTTTGCTTGGCCTGGCCGGGCTGGTTTATTTTTCCCTCCCCTCCCGTCCCGGCTCAGACTGCTCTCGCTTTTGTCCTTTATTCTGAGCTTACTGCAAAGCTGTGACCGGGGTGTCCTCGGACACCTGAAGCAGGAGCCACAGGCTGCTGGGTAAAGTGGGCTCAGCCAGTTCTTCTGGGTTTAATGATAGGTTGTCACCTGGATTCCCTCCCCCATCTCCCTGGAGTTCCCAGTCCCCCTCTCCCCCCCCCCACATATATAAACACACCACACAGAGCCTGGCTCTGCCCTCCCCTGGCTGTCTGGGCCTGCAGCCCATGTGCAGAGAACATCTTCATGGCCTGCTTGGGCCTAGGCTGGGGCTGGTGAGGACTGGCCCTGAGGTGGGTGGCAGAGAAGATGCTCAGGCAGCTCCCCCCACCCCAGGCAAACCACCAGGAGGAGGCTCAGTTCTCCATAACTGCTTTCCAGGGAGCCCTTCAGCTGAGCAGACTGTGGGGGCCAGGGCCACAAGTTGATGGCCCATTAAGACAGTTTAACTCCTCAGTTGGGTGCCAGCTGGGACTGGAGGAAGCAGCCCTCCCCCTCCTCCTCCCGCAGCCAAGTCTATTCTAATGCAGCCTCACAATCACCCTCATATACATACATACCTTGCCTCCCAGAAGCCGCCTTCCCCAGCCTGTGTTCTGCAAGCCCCTTCTGGGAGGTAAACCACTAGGGATGTGGGCCCAGCAGGTGGCGTGGTGGTTAAGACTTCGGACCCCCACAAGGCTCACCGCCATCCAAGTTCCAGACCCGGTGTCTTAAAACTTCTTGCGGGTGCCCACCCCAAATTCTAGGAGAATGGAGGAAAAGGGATCGCAGTGTCACCATGCGCCCTGGGGGGGGGTGGTATTTCTCACTCTCAGTCTCACCGGCTCTGCTTCTCCTCTCCGGCAAACACACGCACCCGGTTAGAAAACTTTGGGAGGGGAAAAAAAAAATTGGGACAGGATGCGCCTCACACACTCAGGCATCATCATTTCAGGAGCCACATGGAAGACCCTCATAAGAGGGACCCCAGATTTCAGGGTTTCTTGTGCATGCCAGGCGCGCGGCATGTGTGCCCAGGATCCAGGCTGCCAGGCTGGGTTGCAGACAGGGACCCTGTTGGGAGTGTTTGTCTCTGTCTCTCTGGATAAAGAGGTATACTGGATCAGCCTGCGGCTGGGCACTTAGGGCGACTGAATCCCATACGATCAACCTCACGGTTCGAGTCCAGGACCCTGCGTCTCAAAAAGCACGTGCCCAAGATCCCAAGAGGAGAGAAACAGAGAAGGGATGCAGTGTGACCATTCTTCATGGGGTGGGGTGTTTTCTCCCTCCTCCTCTCTCACTGGGGAGTGCACTCGCCCTCTAGCAAACTTAAAGTAGAAATGGGTGAGTAGAGTTAAAATAATTGTTTAAGGAGATCACTCAGGTAGCCCTGAGTTAGGGGATGGAGAGGTTCCATTGGGTGTTCAGGGAGGCTTCTGGGAGACCTAAGAGCTGAATAACAAGAAATTGGCTAAGGGTCAGCTGTCACTGGGGCCAGGAGAGATGCTTGCTTGTTCTGGGCTGAGGGGACAGGCATTCAGAGCTGTTCTTGAGTAGGTGCCAGCCTCCTGCTAAGTGCTCTTCACATCCCCCTTCCCGAGGGAAGGAGCAAGGGATGACCCCAGCGGGCAGCCCAAGACCCCTTAATGCCATTTGGGGAAAGAAAAGCTGTGTCTCAGAAC